AGTGCAAAAGCACATGTCGAAAAAACACTTTATCGCGTTCCATTTTTCACAAAGCAAAAGAAATTGTTGTTTAGGAAAATAATTGTGTATGCTGACTGAATGTTATCGAGAAATGTCGAAATTAATCACAAACTACCTGTTTCGTTAGTAATGACTACTAGAACTGTTTGCATTGCCATCTAACATTTGCGGGCGGAAACTAAGTTAAGGTCCTAATATATATTGTCATGAGATCAGAGATAATAGCATGAGATAATTGGCATGAGATTATATATATAGATTAGAGACAGATTAGGAGGATAAGATATGAAATAATTTCTTTCATAGGTGTAGGAAACGATATCTATGTGGTGTAAATTAGGAATGTAAATTAGTATTATCTTTCGAAAGATAATATTAATTTACATCACTAATTTACACTATATAAATATCGTCTCCTACATCTATGAAAGAAATTGTTTCATATCTTATCTTCCTAATCTGTCCCTAATCTATATCTCTAATCTCATGCCAATTTTTTTGTGCTCACAACTCATTGTATGAAAGTTAACAATCATTTAATGCGTAAAAGATCATAATGTTATCTTGGAATATGAACTTATAATTCTTACTAAATGACAGATTGGCTTAAGAATTATTTTTTCCCTCATACAGATTATCTCCTATCGTTGTATATTTAACATGGTTTTTTCTTATTACAATCTTTTATTAATGTTTTTCAAATTCATAACATATAAATCCTCACGATTTACCAAATCAACAAAAACTCTACTACAGGTCACTTGTGCTATTTATGTTGTTAACTGCAACAGTGTGATGCGGGTCCTTCCTCGGCACAGCTTTTAACCAGAAACCACCCACAGGCTTCATATTAAAATCTCCCTTAACTAACTTGACCGGCATTGGTGTCTTTTTGCAAGGTACCAGGTCGCAACGCGCCAGCAGATGGAACAGCAATACCTTCGTCTCCAATAGGGCGAATCGGTTACCGATGCACATCCTGGGCCCCAAGCCGAAAGGCAAATAAGCTCCCGTGTTGAGAATGTGTTTCTTCTGCTCGCCGAGAAACCGTTCAGGATAAAACTTCTCCGGGTCCTCGAAGTATTTCGGATCATGCTGGAGTGCGTAAATCGGTATCCACACGACATCGCCTTTCTTTACGGTGTAGGGCTTTGCGCCCGGTAACGTCGGCGGCAACTCAAAATTCTCTGTGCATGCTCTGTCCGTTAATATAGCAACGGGATACATTCTAAGAGCCTCATTCAATATTGCGTCCAAGTATTCCATACCGTTGATCGCCTCATATGGCGCTTGTCCGTTTGTGTCTTCCAGGACCTGATCGATTTCGTTTTGCAGTTTCTTTCGCACATCCTCGTTCACCGCGATCTCGTGCGCGGCAAAACACATCAACGTCGAGGTGCTTTCGAAACCGCCAAAGAAGAAGCTGAAGGCCTGACTGGTCATGTCTCCGATCGTCAGTTCCCTTTTACCTTCTTTTTTGTTTCTAGTTTCCATCATCAACTGCAACATATCCGGCCGAACGATATTGTTTTCGTCCCTGGTCTTGATGGTGGTCTCCACAAGATCTTGAAAGAAGTCTGCGATTTTCTGACGAATCAGCTTCAAATTGAGTATACGTGCCAACCACGGAAAGCTCCTGAATATTATAATTTTCATGAAGGAGGTACCGTTGAAAGTAGTCGCCTCTCTGCCGTATACGTAAAAGAGGTTCTTCGGATCTCGCATGGAATCTACTGTGATGCCGAAAGCACAAGTAGCAATCACATCGTTGGTATACTTTGTAAAGATATCCTTTGTTTCTATCACTTTTTGCTCCGGCGGCAGTTGCATCACAAAATTAGCAAAGTTGGCGGCATAATCCGACATCAGCTTGAACATGCTCTTCATTTTGCTTGATGTGAAGGCCGGACTCAGCATGGGCCGGGTCTGTCGCCAACTGTCGCCGCAAAGGGAGAAAAGGTTCTTGCCGAATAACGGTTCTTGTTCTTCTGTAACAAAGACACGATGGTCCAGGAACATGTCGACGTTCTTGAGGGCGATGGACTTGATGAGCTCGGTGTCGCGCAACATTATCAGCGGTGTTTTGAAGTCATATAGACCGACGTACTTCGCCTCGGGATGTATATTATAAATCTTCTGTATTAATTTAGGTACAGATACTGTACGGAAGGTCGACGCTGCCGTGTTGCCTAGGAATGGCAATGGCTTCAGATGTGGTATATCATATTTCTTGAATCGATTCAGATCCTTGAAGAGAAAATAATAGAGGCCTACGGCGCCAGCTATTACCGATAAAACTATCACGTACACCATATCGATAAGATTTTTCCACTAAACTGAGTTCTAATTGGTATGCCGCACTATGCAATTTCTGTTGGAATACTCGCGCTTACATCTGTTAGTTCGAACGATATTAGAATCTCTGTGGTGTATTGACGGCGAACCTACATAAGTAAATGAGTATTGTCGTATAACGTACTAATTAATCGCGAAAAAATATCATGTGAAGTATTTCAGTATAAGCGCACACTCCACGGTCGACTGCAACTGTGTAGGCCTATCTTTCTCATTTATAGTACAGATATGTAGTCGTCGCTTGCGCAACGGAAAACTTCGTGTACTTTGTAACGATGATAAAGCGTATCTCTGATACGATTGGAGCAAATATCAATTGCAGTAGTTGATGAGGCACAATTATACTCCACTATTGTTTTTTTGTCTTCGCTATCTTATCTGTTTACATCACAAGTACATAGAATGCAGTATATACTAATGTTCGAACTAATAATGACGAAATAATTATTTATCCTATCGACATAAGAACTCTCTCTAGACATAAACACGAGGCGAAATTTATTTACACCTGAAACCAGTTGTGAGGAAGCTCGTTCCGGGGAATATTTATAATTTTTTCTACATTATTTTGGTCTTATTTAAAATTTTAACTATGTATTGATATCCATTTGTGTCTACCAGGTCCTAATCGATCTCGTTTTGTAATTATTTTATTAGCTATATAATATATACGAAGTGTAAAGAATATTAATGTACTTGACGAAGTGATGATGTTTTATAGGAAAACAAAACCAAAATGCGAAATGAAATTTATGTATACAGACCCTCGTTATATACGGAATTAGTTTTAGGAAGAAAGTCGATGATTCGGGATTTATTATTTCAGTTTTATTTATGCTTTACTTATATATATATAATTATAAATATATATATATATATATATATATATGTATATATATATATATATATATATATATATATATATATATATATATATATATATATATATATATATATATATATATATATATATATATATATATATATATATATATATATATATATATATATATATATATATATATATATATATATATATATATATATATATATATATATATATATATATATATATATATATATATATATATATATATATATATATATATATATATATATATATATATATATATATATATATATATATATATATATATATATATATATATATATATATATATATATATATATATATATATATATATATATATATATATATATATATATATATATATATATATATATATATATATATATATATATATATATATATATATATATATATATATATATATATATATATATATATATATATATATATATATATATATATATATATATATATATATATATATATATATATATATATATATATATATATATATATATATATATATATATATATATATATATATATATATATATATATATATATATATATATATATATATATATATATATATATATATATATATATATATATATATATATATATATATATATATATATATATATATATATATATATATATATATATATATATATATATATATATATATATATATATATATATATATATATATATATATATATATATATATATATATATATATATATATATATATATATATATATATATATATATATATATATATATATATATATATATATATATATATATATATATATATATATATATATATATATATATATATATATATATATATATATATATATATATATATATATATATATATATATATATATATATATATATATATATATATATATATATATATATATATATATATATATATATATATATATATATATATATATATATATATATATATATATATATATATATATATTATATATATCTCTCTCTCTCTCTCTCTCTCTCTCTCTCTCTCTCTTTCTCTGCGTGTGTGTATGTGTGTGTATGTTTCTCTTTTTGCCACTCTTTCTTTCTTCCTCTCTTTGACATTTAATAATTTTGTGATATGTAGATATTGCAAATTTATTTCTACAAAAATAATTTTGTATATGCCTTTAATGTGTATCTTCTGTTTCTATACGGTTATTAAAAAAATATTACTGTATTATTATTGTATTACTATTTTTGTATGGTGGTAAATTTTTTATGTTATCTTCCAAGATAATACTAGTTTAAACAACTATAAATATCAGTTACTAAATCTATGAAAAAAATCGTTTTATATCCTATCTCCTTAATCTATCTCTAATCTATGTCTTTAATCTGACGCCTATTTTTGGGCTAACTATAACTTATAACTTATAACTATTTATAATTATTCATATTTCGTAATATGAAAACTAACTAATTTAAGCTAAGCTAATTTAATTTATGATCATTATTTAATTTATGATATCATAATATTAAATTGAAGTATAAACTCATAGCTTCTACTGGATGACGAACTAGATTAAGGACTATTTTTCTATTTACTAATTATTATTGTTATATGTATAATACACAATATTTTTATCTAATTATTATTTTTTATCAATGCTTTTCATATCCATACAACATATAAATCTTCAATATTTACTAAATCAACAAAAAACTCTCCTATAAATCATGTGCGCCATTTACGTTGTCAACTGCAACGGTGCGATGCGGGTCCTTCCTCGGTACGGCTTTCAGCCAAAAACCACCTTCAGGCTTCAAAATAAAACCAGCCTTGTCTAATTTGAGTGGTATCGGTGTCTTCTCGCACGGCAGTAAGTCGCAGCGTGCTAGCAGATGTAGAAGTAACACCTTCATCTCCATCAGGGCGAACCGACTAGCTATGCACATCCTGGGACCCAAACCGAAAGGCAAATAAGCTCCTGTGTTGAGAATGTGTTTCTTCTGCTCACCGAGAAATCGTTCAGGATCGAACTTTTCCGGCTGATTGAAATATTTGGGATCATAGTGGAGTCCGTGAATCGGTATCGAGATACACTGTCCTTTTTTTATGGTGTATGGTTTCACGCCTGGTAACGTCGGTGGTAACTCGAAATCCTTTACGCATACTCTGTCCGTCGCGATACCAGCCGGGTACATTCTAAGAGTCTCGCTCAACACAGAATCCAAGTATTCCATATTGTTGATCGCTTCATAGGTTACTTGGCCATTCGTATCTTCGAGGACCTGATCAATCTCGTTTTGCAGTCTCCTCTGTATATCTTCATTTATTGCGATTTCGTGCATGGCGAAACACACTAACGTCGAGGTAGTTTCATAGCCACCGAGGAAGAAGCTGAAAGCCTGGCTGGTCATGTCTTCAATCGTTAGATAATTCCTCCCGTCCATTTTATTTCTACTTTCTATCATCAACTGCAACATGTCCGGCCGCACGATACCCTTTTCGTCTCTGGTCTTGATAGTGGTCTCCACAAGATTGTGGAAGAATTCCGCAATCTTCTGTTTTACGAATCTAAGTTTGAGCATCCGAGCCAGCCACGGCAGTTTTTGAAATATATAAAACTTCAAGAAGGCCATACCGTCGAAAACAGCAGCCTCTTTGCTGTATACATAAAAAAGATTCTTGGGATCTCGCATAGAATCGACGCTAACGCCGAAGGCGCAGGTGGCGATCACATCACTAGTGTACCGCATAATGAACTCTTTCGTTTGTATTATTTTCTCTTCAGGCGGCAGTTGCGCCACGAAATTGGCAAAATTAACGGCACAGTCCGACACCAATTTGAACATGACCTTCATCTTACTGGACGTGAAAGACGGGCTTAACACGGCCCGCATCTCTCGCCACTTATCGCCACAAAGAGAAGCGAGACTCCTGGAGAACAATGGATCTTGATCTTTCGTGACGAGACTACGATGATCCATGAAATTGTCGAAATGCTTCAACCCGATGGACTTGATGAGCTCGATGTCGCGCAGCATTATTATTGGGTTAGTCAGTTCATACACACCGACATACTTAGCCTCAGGATACATGTCATATATCTTCTTTAGTAATTCGGTTATGGACTGCTTACGCAGTATCGACGGTCCCATGTTGCCTACCAACGGCAATGGCTTCAGATGTGGTATATTGTGTTTCTTAAACACATTCAGGTCCTTGTAGAGATAATAATAGAGACCCAAGGCGCCGGCTATTACCGACAAGATAATCACATACACCATGATGATAAAATTTTATTAGTCAATTTTATAATAACGCCGTGTAACGTTTGATAAAAATATATTCGCTAATATGAAGCTGACGAGACACATACAAATAGAATCTGCGATGTTCGTGAAACAAACTTATATAATCAAATGTTCTGTTATCGCGCAACTAATCAACGAAACAAATTTATCTCACGAAGAAACGAGGCAGTAGTGTACCCGTTGACATTCAGCGATCAACTACTACCATTCTGCGCAATCTTTCGTGTATATACGGCTCATTGAATCATTACTTACGTAATTGAAGCCTATACATAGCATCTATCGCATTTCTGATGCTGTTGGAACAAAAGTCATTTGCACAAGTTTACATAACACATTATTGCATTCATCTATGCAAAGTTTACATTATCATTATTCTATTTATTTCCCAACTTATACAGAGTTTGCTGAATTCTAATAAACAACAAGAAAATAATGTCTCGTAAAAATACTAGGAGAAAACTGAGAATTATCGTAAAATAACTTTTCGGTCTCTTTGTTAGTAATCTGTCTCTTGTCTTCCAATCCGTCGTTCAACCAAATTTGTTATTGATAGCCATACGTTAACAGCTTTAATGACGTTTTCTTTTCCAATTCAGATGCAAAAAATCATGACGCACATTGTCAGGGACGATTGTGTATATTTAATGTTGTACGTTCTATCATCTTATAACACGTTTTATGCAAGATATTATTAACATGAACTCTGCAATAACGTGATAAAATATTTGAATGATTTTAAATGATAATTAGCAATGCACAAAACAAAAACATTAACTTAATTTATACACCTAATAATAATTGGTGGATTATATTATTCCAGATAGCATAACATATTTTGGTAATTGTTTACATTAAGAAAGCTACCTTCGACGAGCTTCTCCTTGACATATAGTATCAAGAATATATCTCTGAGTAACATTTCAAAGGTTTTATGCGTTGCTCATTGTGTGTTAAAAAGTTATTAAAACAATTTTTTATTAAATGGAACGTAAGCACACTGTGTATGTGGAAATATGGTAAACAGTATACATAATATCGCAAACAATATCTGCATTTGTATTCTTATATTGTTTTTCATTGACAAATTATGTATAAAAATGTAAAGGATAAATTGCGCATATACGTGTATGTTTTACCATATTTCAATGAATAGGTTAGGTTAAGGTTAGTTTATTGGGATGGGAATGCGAGGGGAGGGGCTCTACCATTTTTTGTTAAATGGAACGTAAGTACCCCTCCCCTGCGCATATATGTGTACTGTTTATCATATTTCCTTATACACTGTGTGCAAAAATTACTTTACATTTTTAACAAACATTAAGCGACACATAAATCCATTTGAGTATTATTTAGAGACATTTTGATAATATATGTCAAGAAGGCGCTCATTGAAAGTGGCTCCATTAATGTAAACAATTACTTACATTTTTTCAGCCTCAGATAAAAGAGAGATAAAAATATCAATTTTATAATCATTTTAACCTTATTTTTACTATCTTATTTGAAATTGCAGAAATCTCAAAAGAACTTACATGTTTATATACAACATTGACTAATAATGTCGAATAGGGCATCTGGGTATTTTTTTTCAGGTCAACTTTCGTGACACGCTGAGGCAAGAAGCAAAGGGCATGCCACAGTCGATACTGCGGTTTTGGAAACGATACCAGCGAAAAATAAAATGCTTCGATATCAATATAGCGTGGTACTGAGAGGAAGAAAAAATATCTTGAGACAAAAACGTCTCGAAACTAAAAATGAAAGCGGTCGAATTACATCGTTATTATTGAAGGAAACCGAGACAAAGAAGAAGAGAATATAGAAAAGAGGCGACGGACGAGCTGAGAGAATGAGATCGACGTATTCAGTTATTACCGAGAGTTCGCTACCGCTGGCAAGGAATTAGAATTCACCGCCGCGTGCGGGAACGAAATGATCTCGAACTACCGTATGAGTTTAGGACCGCGGATACCGTTTAGCGACTTTCTATTGTTGTTGGTGTTGGTGATTGGTACGAGGTTACTATACCTGGCGCCCAACAAAGTTTTGTGTGAGTTCCACGATCGGTGGAAATTTGCAGATACAGCAGACAGGCGACTGTCCACCTTTATAAACAAAAAAAAGTCGTCGCAGTTATTAACAAAAGAAGTTTCATAAATAGAACGTAATTTTGATATATATATATATATATATATATATATATATATATATATATATATATA